ATACGTTCATTGTTAATAACAAATAAAACTTTATTTATTTAGTATTAAAAAATAAAAACTGAACGGTAAAAAGAAAACTTTCCGCTGAGGACAGGATTCGAACCTGCGCGGGTAGAACCCATTGGATTTCAAGTCCAACTCCTTAACCACTCGGACACCTCAGCTGTATCCGAGCGCGCGAAATTACACTTGCCGTTTTATGGACGGTTTCGCTATAACGTCATGAATGTATGTTTGTATGGCAAATGGTATTGTCATAGAAAAAAGAATCATTTGCTATATTTTCATAAAAATAAGGGACATGCGTCTGCGCATCATACGCAAATGAATGTATTAAAAATATGGATGGATTACTAAAACATCATAAGGCAAAAAAGTTATCTACAAACAAACGCATACGTAACGATAACGTCAAATTTAGATTAAAATTCATGACCCTCCCTTTAGGCCATAGAGTTAGGGCACAAGTTAGAGTGTGGGTTGGGTCCATTGCTGCATTGTAAGTAGAAAGCAAGTGCTGTGGTGCAACCTTTAAATTTTACTAAAAACACGTTTAGTTGTTTAGTTAGCCACAATCTAAGTATGTAGTTAGTGCCTAAAAGGTCTTTCGTGCTTACTGTAACTAAGAATAAAATGTACTAAGTTGCTTTTTTATTCCAGGGATAATCTAAAATTGCCATAGTATACTATTGAAAATCATTCAAGGAAATTAAATTTACAAAGTAAAAATTGATTCGCTGACAGCTGCGCAGGAGCCATTTCCAGACCGCACCTGAACAAATTTTGTAAGTACTCTATACTATTGTGACGTCACTAAACACACAACTTAAATAATGGAAGATTCGTTAAGTAACACTACGTGTTACAATCGACCAGACTGCTTAAGCAAACATAATAATATTTACAGAGAGTCAGTAGTTTGCAGATTTTATAAATAGGAACCGTTACAAGTGTGGGTCATTATTTCTAGTTAACTTCTTTGTTTCAATTACGTCTATCTCAGAGTAGCTATCTCCGGCTATTTTGAGAGAGATAAAGTACATAATATACATTTGGATATGAATTAAAATGCGACACTGAAATTCTTCTAGAATACGCATTCTTACTCTTAAAACCAAAAATAATTTTATAGCAATATCACATAAGAAAGATTATTTGCCGCAATTTAATTGTAGGCGTCATTTATAAAAGAAAACACCTTTTACTGTACATGTATGACGTGTGACAATAAAAACAGTCTTTCTAAAACGAGATAACATATTTATTTATTTGTTTAAAACATAGATTTACAATATCATTAAATATCGGTGTTGACCGCTATACAGCAGCTAAGTACTTCATTAGTCTCGAATTTCCGGCGAGTTGGTACATTCGAGCTGCCCGTAATTACTTAAGATGAAGCGACAAAGGAATCTGTAATTATAGAGCTTGGACACACGAGCTGCCGTTCTTATCTGAAGCGGCCAGGGTTGGCACTTTTGTTTTATTTCATTCTGACGAAGCAATGGTATGGTTAAAATTATACATGAACTTTTAAAGCATTTTTAAAAACCTACTCATAACTAACTATGCAACAAATTTTAAATTAATAACTTAGTAAATATTTTGAATAAAGTTACTGTTAAAGTTACAATGGCGAAAATAACATACAACCCTGTGAAGTTCAAAACTGTAGGTTTATATCTCTGCACCTGCAGAATCAAAATTATCACTATTGGCTCTGTGCACGATTACAGCGCCAGCTAGCGTCCACAACTTTGTGGGCTCTGTCACATTGACATTTAGGTCGTATATTTGTGAAAAAATATCGAAATGAAAAAATAACAAATATTTTCAATTAATAAATTGTTGTGATACCACGATTTGGATGGAAAAAAGGTTTTGAAATCATTTTGGTCATTCAAATCAAATGAGGTAAGTCCAAAAAGTGTGTTTAATTTTGATTGTGTCAGGGTTTGTTTACTTCATTTATAATTGTAGTTTTACAGTAAAACAAAAAGAAAAAGCTACTTTAACGGTTTCATTATATAAAAGTAAATATATTTAAATGTTCCTGTATCGCTAGTAATAAATTAAATATCGTTTTCAGATCGAAATGAGTATTGTTTTGAAGACCGGGTTTGTGAGTTTTACAATATCAAATTCCAACCACAAACCGTATTTTAAGGAAAGTTGTTGGTATTGGCTGGACAAGTCCGAGATGTAGAAGAATTAAGAACAAAACAAGGGCAGAGTTCAATAATTCACGCTCTCATCATAAGGCAAACATATGTGCACAACAACTACTGTGACTCATTTTTGTACTACCACGTTGTATAGTCTAGTTATTTCCAAATTGTAAACGGCTATTAAACCAGCCCTATCGAAATACAGTCCACTCTTTTATTTAAGTTCCCAGTAGGACCCTTTTCATGCGATTATTGAATGATATTAAAATGTATTATGTAGAATCGCTTTGCCATTGACAGATACATCTGATGACAGAGCTTACATTATTTCTACTTTTGACCACCATGAGCGCTGCGATAGATTATGTTACCCCCACCTAGTACTTCGCACCCAGCGAATATGCGTTATTCATTTTCAGTACAGCCCCTGAAGCTTTCTTGCCGGAAGTGACGAAGGCGCTCTCTCAATGTGCAGTCAACTGCGCATCCTTTTGATATCGCACTCTCTCGGCACTAAGAGTATCCAGTCACAAACGACCTTTTCAAAATAAATGAACTCTTACCACAGCATTACTTATTATTATGTGCCACAGCCTAAAACCCGATGGGACTTACATAGAAGTCGTTACTTTTGTGTGTGCAAAAAAGTAAATTAAGATATCTACATGTAACAAAAAACAATAAAATTGCAACATGTCCATTCATTCCTTAAAGCTAGAAAAAAATAGGTATCCAACTGCTTGTACAGAATAACTTGCTTTACCAGGATCTTATTGTGTATGTACCTATTGTTAAATTCAAATTCTTTAGTAGTAAGTTGGTCCCGAATATACGAGTAGCTTACTATACCACATCACATCGGGACATTTAAAGCCGGGTCCAGACGGGTGTAATGAGTAATGTAAGATTACGTGTAATGTAACACGAATTCTACGTGTGGACAGCACTATAGATGAACTACACTGAACCCGTGACATTGGCAGGGGGGCGCCACCGTCAAATCAATACCGGACGGATAGCTGGTTCCGATTTTTTTTTAAATTGAACGATGGTGACGCTCCTCTGTCAATGTGTTTGGTCATAGAGAAAAGTAATATAGAGAAAAGTAATACATAGGAAATAGAGAACCCTCTCTGTCAAATTTTTGAACCTACTAATTGACAGCCTGGTGTTAAATTCCCTGTACTTAACCTACGTACGTAACGCTCACATACATACATAGTACACGCACACATACATACATAAAGTCCACACACACATACACACAGTTCACGCACACATAGGCCCTCATAACCTTCAAAGAATTATTGTTTTTATGATGTACAATGTAGAATTTTTTCAAATCCATTATTTTGAAAATATTTATCTTTATGGTGTACGTATTGTATTATTTTCAAAACAATGGATTTGGAAAAATTCTACATTGCACATGGAAATGCAAATAAGTAAACAAAAACTTTTGAATTTAATAATTTTACTTTATTTATGAACACACATAATATTATACACCAAAAGCGTCTTTTCGCAAAGTTTTCAACAACACTAAAAAAGCATTTGCACATTGAGAAAACTCAGATCACTTGTGAACATAACAGAAAGTTTCTTCGCGATTCACGAAGGAACGAACAAAACTCCGATGAACCAGAACAGCAGCAGGTACGAAGGAATGAACTTGAATTTGACTCGACGACTCTTCAATACTTTAATAGGGCCACAGAAAACTTAAATGATGGCTAAGAAAACAAGAATGCATTTAACATAACAAAAACAACACCGGCCATTTTGGAGGAAAAACAAAGTTGCCATATGTTAAATAGTAATTTCTACTACTCTATTATGTAAATTATAACAAAAATGTCAATGTTCAGTATTAAATTAAAACAAATTAATTTCATTTAAAAAAAGTTTTCACATTGTAATTAACAATATTCTCAAATATATTTTAATTAAGAAAAAAATGAAAATATGAAGGAAACAGGAGCAGCGACATCTAGAGCGTTTTAGGGTAGTTAAAAAGTATTTGAATTTATTCACCGATGTCGCTGTTTGGAAGCAAGTGTCACTTCGATGACCGTTGTATGGAAGTTTCCACACCCTTTGTTTGGTGGTGGGACAACTCAGTGTAGTTCATATAAACGAGCATTACTAATGTAAAGTGCTGCCCATCTATTTCCATTACATTACACGACATTCCATTACTCGTTACACCCGTCTGGCCCCGGCTTAACGGCTGTCATTACAAATTGAATGGTGAATTTACACTGCACCTGGCTAATTTCCGCGCAGTGTAAAAGCGCCTGAAGAGATTTGAAGAAGAAGAAGTCAACGTGGACTTCTTGGCGGGAATCTGAAGCGTCATGTTAGCGGTGTTGTTTTATATCCTCAAATTCGTGTTTGGGCGACTATTAATGTGTAATAATGGTGGATTATTAACCATTGAGTGTTCGTGAACGTGCATGAGTGTGGGCAAGTGAAGCAAAACAGTGCATCGTGATTCTTCTGGTTCTCTCAAGTTGTCCACAGGAGGTCTCAGTAAAGCACCACCACTTTACTGAGACTCAAAGGGTGGGAAGGGGTATCATCTATCATCCTTCATTATATCATTACTTGATCTTTGTAAATCGTATCACTTTTAGACTTGAAAATGGCACAAATCAAGTCGACCTCGACGTGTATTGCCAACATCATCAAAAAAGAAGAGAAGATGAAGTCAACGTTCCATTACCCAACCTATTATTTATTATAAAATTCTTCATAAATTGATGCATTATTACAATAATACCATCAATTTTAATTAGTTTTAATAGTTAAGTTATTTTAATTTTAATTTATTTTTTAATATGTGGGTACAATATTTAATTTGCTTGAAACGGAACGTACATTCCTTCCATGATGGCAGCTACAAACGTCAAATAATTGTTTTGATTTTTTTACGTAAATAATTTATCAAAAAAAACATCAAATGACCTTCTCGCTTCGAACAGTAGTGAACTAAACAATAGTTTTCGTGTTTCAGAAAAATGGTTTTGTGATAGGGAAGTGCATGGCGTAGGCATTGTTATGCTACATGAAAGCCCGAGAGAACAGATGCAATACTAATATGCCTTGCGAGAGTTGTGCTGTACAATTTAGTGTATTCAGGCGGAAACGGGCGTGTTGTGAATGTGAACGGTACTTCTGCAGCGGCTGCCTGCGGCGCGGCGGCGGCGTGATGTGCGCGGCCTGCAGGCTGCTGTCCACGCGGCCGCTGTCGCGCCAGGCCATCGCGCACCTCAAGGTCCGCGACCTGCAGTGCTTCCTGCAGCGGCAGAACGTCTCCACCAGGGGATGCGTTGGTGAGTCACGTGCTCCACTCTCTATAACAATCTACCACCTTCTAGAACAGTTTTTAATAGTCTGAAGATTATCTGATTAATATTGGTACTGTGCTGATAGTGCAGTGATAAGATTTTGCTAAGAATTTGGTAAAAGTTTGATTTTCCAATAATCCCTTTAACTTTACCGTCTTTGTGACGACAAACATTAACATGTTTATCATTTAACAACTATGATGTCATAAAAATAGAAGGAAATTCATTAGCTTCCTCCTATTTTAGGACTACCTACCATAGACTATTAATAATAGTTTGACGCCAACTAAAGATCTGTATATTAGCAACGAAACCCACAAATACATTATTGTATTAATATTGTACAACATAAAAATAAATTTGTTTAATTAAATTTGTTTTAATAAAGAGGTTATCAATACTTTTGAGAAACTAATATGCACAGCTTTATTAAAAACGAACTAATCTGTAAAACCAAAATCAAGAAAAGTAGAACATCAAACAACAATAATTTATTGTAAATAATATGATTTAGATATTTTTTATCTAATCAATCATTAATAAAAGGGAATATCCCTACTTCACTAGTAAAGTAGATGTTGATGATGTCATTAATTAGGTATTATCAGAATTCAATCAGGTGTCATCCATTGTGCAATATCATAACGGCAATCTAATTTCATATTACAGCTGCATTGGCATTTGTAATATTGCACCATTTGTCAATACCTACAATATACGAGGGCGGCACTGAAAATTTCGGGAATCAAGGAAGTGAAACAACATTACTATTTAAAAATGTATTTATTGCTTTTTAAAGTATTCTCCGCGAAATTTGACACATTTTTCCATACACGAAACCAATCATTGAAGCAACCATTGCATTCGGAAGTTTGGGTCTCCAAAATGGCCGTTTTGTAGGCTTCCACAGCTTCTTCAGGTGATGAAAATCTCTGACCACGCAATTTATTCTTTATTTAAGGGAAAGTATAGAAATCATTAGGGCTTAGGTCGAGGCTGTACGGCGGATGGACTAATAATTCTATGTTTTCTTGCTCTAAAAACTCCTTTGTTCAGTGCGCGGTGTGAGAACTCGCATTGTCGTGATGGAGGATGATGCGGCGGTTGCAGTTCTCTTTACGGAGTTCAGAAACGACCTGTGGCAAACAAATGCTAGCATACTAATCTGCATTAACCGTTCTTTGTCCCCCAAGAGGAATAGTCGCAACATGGCCGGTTTTGGAGACAAACGTGGCCACCATTTTTTTTGCAACACTCCGTGAACGAACAATTTTTGTTGGCTTTAATTCATTTTCGAACACCCAAACTCGTGACTGGTTTTTTGTTTCGGGTTCGTACGCGTATATCCATGATTCGTCACCTGATACGATGTTGTATACAGCATTTGAGGATCCTGCATGTAATCTCCCGAGAGTTCTGACGCACCAAGTAACGCGAGCCGCTTTTTGCTCTTCACAGAGCGAATGCGGTATCCATCGGGAAAACAACTTTTTTACACCTAATTGTTCATGCAAGATTATTTGTATTTGACTCATGCCAATGTCTAAAGTTGCCTGAATTTCGCGGTATATCACATGTCGATCTTCTTCAATCAGCTTACGCACAGCATCAACGTTTTCTTAGGTGACTGCAGTTTTTGGACGACCTTGACGGGGATCATCACTGAGCTTGACACGTCCACGTTGAAATTCAGGAAACCAGCGATAAATTGTGGTTTTGGATGGGGCTTCATTACCAAATGCAGAAATCATCCGGTCAACACACTGTTTTTGTGTTAAACCACTTCAAAAGTCATAATAAATCATCGCTCTTGAATTTTCTCGAGTCAATTCCATTTTCTCAACGACTAAACAAGTTTGACAAGACCTTGTGATACGACCGAGAATCTTTTTTTAAATAAATAAATGGTATACGATTTTTAAAACCCTGGACTTTGCAATTAAATAGATTTTAATATGACTGGAACAGTGGAAATATTCCATTCCCGATACTTTTAGTGCAGCCCTCGTATGACTAGATCACTTTTTTACTTCACAACATTTTCTAATATTAGTAGTATCATCAAGCCATATTGGAGGAGTTTTGTTGTTACTAAAAAAGATGACCTAGTATTATCTGTTGAGTAAAGTGTATCTAACAAATATCATTAGGAAGATAATTACTATAAAATTAAGGCAAGAAACATGATTTCTAGCAGTTTTAGCCTGTTTGATTTTATGAATCACAATTCTTTTGTGTGTAAAAAGTTTCCTTGGAATAAAATTGTAGGTATCATCTTGTCTATTAAGCTAAATACGACAAGCCCAAAGAGACACTATTTTCAGAAAATTAAAACCTAACTTTCCAAAACATAACTCACCTCTCCTAAACCTAACTATCCAAAACCTAAGCCTAAGCGCAGACCATCGATTTTCGTCGGCCGATAGTTTCGTTGGGCAGTTGAAGAGTATGGGCATGTATGGAAGTGCGCACATTACACCGATTTGATTTGGCCGGTTCTTCATACAATTTAAAATCGGGCACAACTATCAGGCAACTAAAAATCTATGGTCTGCGTCGATGGTCTAGCCTTACTCCTCAAACCTTTTGCGGATAACAGGCCTTTTTCTGCTTTGTCAAATAAAAGATTTTGTGTGGTTACCAATTAACACTGTCCAGTAGTGACTGAGATCTGCTACAGACTAATCTGAGAAAACTTAATTGGGCAAAGGTGACATTAACCATTGTTGTTGCAAGTAAAAATGAAGGCAACCTTTGACATGAATATTTGCATATTCCAGAGAAAGAGGAGCTGGTGAGCCTCTGCGTGGGCCACGTGAACAGCGCGGCGTACCGGCGGCGCGGCGCGCGCGCGCCCGGGCCCTTCAGCACGCTCAAGGACTTCACCAAGCTCATCAACAACGCCTTCGACTTGCGCGCGCCCGCGCAGCCCGCGCCACCGCCACCTAATAGTGAGTCCCTACCAGGCCTGTTCAACTCCGCGAGTTTGCATCGAAAACAAAACACGCGCGACTACCCCTCCTGAGATACCTAATCGACAGGACAATCACGAGCGAGTATTGACGCACGCACGTATTCTTCACCCATTTTCATTGTAAAGACAATAAACTATATGTAAAAACGGTGGTGTAATTAATACTGTGCAGTATATTTTTTAACTGCCTGAATAATATTAGAAACAAAATATAATTCATGCTTATTCATGTATTTCCTCCGCCATTTTCCGCAGTTTGGCACCTCACGTCACACATCATTTTACCGAAGTCAGCCCTATGTCTTCGGCGCAGTACTGATCACTGACGTTTGTCAACAAAATGGTGCTCGACTCTTGAGACAAGCTAAATTACATCATATTGTTAACGACATTGAGCATACATTTTTTTAAATACCTTCGCGAAGAAAATCTTCTGTACGAAGTACTTATTATTATTCTGTGGTCCTACCTACACACAGATTTTTTGTAATAGACCTATAATTCCTGTGTGCCTTCAGGCACTGCTCTCCATGGCACGCTAAAAAGTAGCTTTCTTGTATCAGTGTTATTCTGTTTGTTTACAGGCAATTGTTACAATGCTGCGCACACGCACGAGCCGGCGCCCGCGCCCTCTCCTGCGAGGGAGAGATTCACTACTACTCCAGGTAGTCTCATATTCAAACCATAGGTCTAGCCAGTACATTAATGCCAGTCTTCACCATCAATCCCTAATTTTTAAGTGACCACAAAATTCCTGTTAATTGTTACCATAGGGTTCACTTAAAAATTAGGGATTGATGGTGAAAACGGGCATTAGAGTAATAAATATCAACTTAGCCACTACACAGTGATATTCATACTGTGATATATGTAAAGCATTTTCTATTTTAATCATAAAATAATCGTGTGGAAAGTGTAGGCCAAATTCTCCATTTGCCTCTGGTAACTTAGAGAGGGTCGTGCTCCTGCAGTGAAGACTAAATGACCTGATAGATTATGTATAAAATAACCAGTAAATAAAAGACACGTTATTTGTTTAAAAACGGTTTTTATTAATCTCTTTTTGTTTTCAATTTCCAGGCGGCGAGCGCGACATCGAGGTGCCGGTGCCGCCGGGCGTGTCGCGCAGCACGTCGGGCTCGTCGGGCGCGCGCCGCGACACGGCCGACTGCTTCGAGATCGAGGACCTGGACGACGCCGGCTGGGAGTTCGTCACGCGCCCCGCGGACCCGCTGCCCAACGGTGACTACAATTTAATCGTACATCCGCATGCGTATTATGAATCTTAGCAACCGGTTGCTAAAATTGTGATTAGATAAAGCCTGGTCCGTGAGCATGTAGAATCCCGTCCAATGACCCCAAGCTACCCACCCTTATCGCTCGCGCGTAATTATATTGCTGTCGCGACTGTGCGACGCGCGCCCGCAGTGAGTGTGCGAGCGACAAGGATGGGCAGCTTGGGGTCATTGGACGGGATTCTACGTGCTCACGGACCAGGCTTTAGTAGGTTAGGGTAGATTTAGTATAGGTTTTAAAGGTAATCGACAGCGCCGCCTCTCGGAGTCCCGATGAACTATGATGGCTATTATTATCTGTTGCCGCTAAGTGGACGTTAGTGGTATTATATTCGTTAAAAAAGCTTAAAAATTTGATGAAATATCTTTATTTTTATGCAATATATGTAGTACAAACGTTGATTATTATTAAACTGTTTTCGAAAATATAATTTAATTATTTTACTCATTTCAGATTCAGAGGTGCTAATCACAGAGAACGAAATGCACACGCCTGCGCACGAGCCGGACCGGACGACGACTGAGCGCGTCGAGGTCCACGCCCCCGGCGCCTCGGCGCAGAGACCGCGCGAGGGGGCGGGGCTTGGCGCGGGGGCGGGGCCTGGCGCGGGGGCGGGGCGGCTGCAGCCGGAGCGCGCGGGCGCCACGCCGCAGCGCGCCGCGTCCGAGCTGGAGCTGCGCCGCGACCCGCCGCCCGACTCCGACACCACCAGCCTGCAGGACGAGCCCATGATGGACCGCCCACCGGGTGAGCGTCACTCGCCTTACAAAAGCCTGACGCTCAGTCAGCGTTGTCAGATTCGCTCATCTACCCGCATAATTGTAGATATTAAAACGGGCGTGCTTTGCGATACCGTCACTATTAGAGGTGGTGCGTATTTACGCGACCAGGTTTTAAAACCAGCTTTCAAGTGCGTAAACCAGGTTCCAGCCCCAAATATTCAAGGGTTTTTACTTACGACGCCAGGACGCACTCAGTTCGTCTCGGCCCCGTACGAAGATAAATACGTCCCAATACTAAACTTATTTCTTTACAATAAGGAATACAATCGCTTGGAAACCTTCAAAGTATTTTTTTTTAAATTTAAACCCTAGCCTAGTAGTTTTAGAGATCAATATTAAACAAAATACTTTCAAAGTATTTTACTTTATCCCCGCGACTCTACCGACCGACCGGGACTAGCTAGGTCGGCTTGACTCGGGCTTACTCGGGAGTGCTCGGGGACGGCGTCAAAATGTCTCAGGAGAGCCCCCGTCACCCCGCGCCACTAGGTTCGCTAGCCGAATTTAGTCCTTAAACTGTGGGCATTAGTGCATTATTATGACTATGAACTAATGACCCGCGCAAAATGAATTGCTTACAAGTTGCATTTGCTTTCTTCACGCGCTTATTTCTTGACAAGTAGAGTTTATTGTTGCGCGTTTTTGTAAACGAAACGAATAATCCACAAAACATAACGTTTTTAAGGTATTTGGTTGTTTACTTGCGATTGTGTTCCTTATTTTATAGCATATAGCGTCCATTTTCAAACGATTCAAAAAATACTTGAAAGTATGTAAATACCTGGTATTTGGCTCTGGTTTTTATACTTTAGGGTACAAGGGCGCCTTGGTCCTCGATTTAGCAAGTACGACCCATGCCTAGTCACAATGGTCCAACGAGCCATGGCCCGGCCCGGTCGTGACGTGCCCGTGGTTGCAGAGCCGGCGACGCCGCGGCGCGTGTCGCTGGGCGCGCTGCGGTCGGCGGCGGAGCTGGAGGCGCTGAGCGTGCGCCAGCTGAAGGAGCTGCTGGCGCGCAACCGCGTGGCCTACACCGGCTGCCTCGAGCGCGCCGACCTACTGCAGCGCGCGCAGCTGCTGTGGCGCGACCACGCCGCCTACAAGGACGGTGCGTGGTAGTGATCCTTCGAGCCGGATATGGATCGGCGACAGTAGCGGCGTAAGGGGGGAGCGGTGGGGGCGGTCCGCCCCGGGTGCCAAGCATCAGGGGCTGACAAAAGTCGCGCCGATTAGTAATCACTGGCGCATCTACATGACAAAGCGATCGGTATCATTACAGCTGATTCGTACATCTTTCATCTTCGAATCGGTAACCCAAAAACCCTGGGACCACCAGATCTGACCATTCTGGGGTGCCATAGCCCCGAGCAATCGCAAAAGTGATCGCCCCGGGTACCAAGTCATGCTACGCCGCCACTGATCGGCGACTCATAGATTTTACTCATTTATATAACTCCAGGTCTCTGAACCTTTCGATTCAGCCAAATGACGTCCACAGCTGGACGAAGGCCTCCCCCGAAGATTTCCATAACGACCGGTCCTGCGCTGCCCGCATCCAGGCTCCTCCCGCGACCCTCGCCAGATCGTCGGTCCACCTAGAGGGAGGCCTGCCCACACTACGTCTTCCGGCTCGCGGTCGCCACTCGATAACTTTCTGTCCCAACGCCTATCTGAACGTTTACCTCCGTATCAAAATTATGAAAAACCCGATTTGCTATAGTCTGGTCCGTGAGCACGTAGAATTTTGTCCAATGACCCCTAGCTACCCATCCTGGTCGCCCGCGCGTAATTATGTTGCTGTCGCGCTCGCACACTCACTGCGGGCGCCCGTTGCACAGTTGCGACAGCAATATAATTACACGCGAGCGATAAGGATGGGTAGCTTGGGGTCATTGGACAAATTTCTACGTGCTCAGAGACCAGACTATAATAATATAATTACGTGCGAGCGATAAGGATGGATAGCTTGGGGTCAATGGACGAAATTCTACGTGCTCGGCGACCGGACTTTAGTTGATAGTACTAATGGCATGTTACGCCCTCCTGAAAAAGAAACCTGGATACGCCGATGTTGAACCCTCAAAATAGAAGTATCCAACGTGCTGCTTGGCGTGTTGCAGAGATCGACAACCTGCCGCTGGAGGAGTGCTGCAAGATCTGCATGTCGGCGCCGCTGGAGTGCGTGCTGCTGGAGTGCGGGCACATCGCGGCCTGCACGCCGTGCGCCGCGCGCCTGGCCGAGTGCCCCATCTGCCGCCAGTACGTCGTGCGCGCCGTGCGCTTCTTCCGCTCCTGAGCCGCACAGGTGGGTCAGCACGAACCTCCCTGTTACGACCGAGTTGGGGCTAGTGATGTACAAGACTCGAGGCGTCGAGTCCTATTTTTGAAGCCTCGAGGCGGAATGGCAAGACTCGGTGCGAGCTCTCTGAGTCGTGCCTCGAGGCTTTAAAAGAGCTCGAGCCTTCTAAAGAGCTCGAACCTTCAAAAGAGCTCAAACCTTCGAAAAAAATAGAAAAACATCACCTACATTGATTTTTATTACAAGATTCTTAAAATTTACTTTTATTTTGTTACGAAGTTATAATTCTAATCGTATGTACAGTCACGGAATGAAAAGGTTCGTCAGTTTTCAAATTGATTCCTTCAACGAATCGCGAGCACATAATACCTTTTGAAACTATGTTAAAGAATAATCTCGAGTTAGAGAAAATAATCTTTAACTGTTCGTCAGTAAAGTTCAAAATTATTTAGATCAAAGTTGTTTGACGATTTAACTTGTCAAGAAGATTATTATTGAATAAATGATTGATAAACTAAAACCTTCTTGTTGGTTCAACCTGCCATATCTATTAAATAAAAAAAACTACAGTTTGTAACATTGCACTGATGGGATAGAAAAATAAACAAGCAAAACCTTATTTGTTAGCAAACGTCATATTATTTATTTAAATGTTAGCAGCACTGTTTCTTGCTGTTATGTTGGCAGGTTTGACTCTCACAGTACCTAGTGCAAGCGAAAACCGACACTAAGGTGACGAACCTTTTCATTCCGAGACTGTACCTAGTCATTATTTGATTTGTGTCCTTTTGTGAAAAACGTTTTTCAAATATGTATTTTATTGTAGGTATCAGAATTTCTGCAGTTTAGAACGATCTTAACACAAAAGTTAACTGGGCTTTCAAAAAGGCTCGAGCTCTGCGAAAGACTCCAAGCTCATCCAAACGAGGCGAGCCCCGAAAAAGGCTCGAACTCTAAAAAAGACTTCTGAGTCGTCGAGCTTCATACAAACGAGGCGAGCCCTGTAAACGACTCTGAGCTCTCGGCAAAAGGACTCGGAAGCCTCGAGCCTTGTACATCACTAGTTGGGGCCCGAGGTATGGGCAGGGCCGGCTTTAATCCGCTAGGGGGGCCCTGAGTACTTAAGGGTCGAGCATACGGGAGCCCCCTCGATCGCGAGGTCCTGGCAAGTATCTAAAATACCCAGTAGGGAGGCCTGAGTATGGGAACGGCACGGAAGAGTTTTTGTGATTTCAAACGTCAGCGAGACTTCAGATATGCTTCAGACTTGTATTGTCGTTGTTCTTATATGTCCCGAGTCGCTCCCGTACCTCAGGCGCTGACTCAGTTATACGGTGTCTACCGTAAGATATAATACCATAATGTCTTTAGTAAGAATTTAGTTAAAAACAAATTTCGAAATTTAGCTCCGATTTTTACTTCCAAACAAGACCTCACTGTTCATTATACTTTTCATAGAAAGAACGCCTGTATATGGAATAAAGCGCACGCACCCACGGTTAGTTATCTTCTGAGTGCTCGACTGACAAATGAATGATGATCGTGTTTCTTCTTTCAGTCGCCAGCTCTCAAGATTCCCGCTGCACGTCGTAATGAGCCTGCGCCGAGCAGCCGACTGCCTGCCCGCCTGGCACCATACATCATCCATCAGGACGGTGATTTGCCAGGTTCTTCGAATCCTAAAAAAATGTATGGGATAAAGGGAAAGGTCACGAAAGGACGCGGTCAGGGATGGTAGTTTTCGTCGACAGTTCTCGAGTTTACCGCTGAAATATAACAGCAAGCCGGTTGCCTCAACTGCCACTGATACTCTTGAGGTCTTGAGAGCTGGACGAATTCACTACAACAATTTATGGAGCTTAGTAAACTAAAGAAAAATGTGTAATAACCCATCCCTTCATGATTTTTACGTGTATTTGCACAGTTGCAGGCCAGTTCCACGGTCGACCTTTTTCGACATACACATAGAGAATTCTATAGAATTCATTTATTTATTTAATATACTTTGAACTCTGATTCCACTCAGATTGAGATGAAATCTCATGTGACCTAAAATAATTTAATCTTATTGGAGTTCCCACTTAATTTATTGTCCGTAACGCATCTGTGCAAATAAGAAAAACATGACGGAAATATTAATTTGTATTGTTTATCGTTAATCAAAGATTCACGTAACACTGGCTATGAATATGATGAGGGCTACCGTATTTGCGTTCACCGGTTGGCCACCAGCGACTATAATCCTGTCACTCACCAGTGGCGCCAACCAGTAAACTCAAACACGGTAGTCCTCATTGAAAATGAGTTCTTTGTCTTCGGTTCCTACAATAGCTTGTCCGTAGTTTATTGGAGTTTGTGCCGAACTGCCACAAATACCTCTTAGTATTGAATGTTTTTAAGTAGTAAATCAGTTTCCCAAATAGTTTTAGCAGAACCACCTACATGTTAGCTAGTATACATGTATCAGCCGTCCACCGCTTTAGTTGAGCGCGAGCGTTGTATCGTTACTTCCAGCCAACACATCGGCAGTCCCCTGCGACTCGTGTGGCGGCCTGTTCTCCTTACTTAAGACTTATAACGCTTACCCTCGGACAATACTGTATAGGTCGACCCAATTTAGATAGATTCTATGCCAAAAGTACAGAACTGAGTTTGTAAATATCATATTTTTAAATTTTTATAATTCCCGATGTTATTTATTGAAAAACGTTGCGGTGAAACACACCATGTACGCAAAAATTCCCCCGAGTCGCTACAATAATGTTTTCTATTTATTAACTGATTTATCGTCTAAAATTCTGAATATTAAAAAGTGCTTAATTACTTAACTATTAAGCGACTCGTAATTTATACTTAGTATGCTGAGATTCCGGACAACAATGCGAATGCCATTGTGTCTTGTCGATCAATGCTCAGCAGGCATACGAGGCGTTAAAGCTACACAAATGCGTCTTGCCGACTACAACGCACTAAATTTTTGCTTCTGAAGTGTAAAAAAATTTGCTCTCCTTCACTTTCGTATACAAGTGCGAGTGAGAGTAAACAAACATCAAAAAATTGTCGATCGGGGTGTTGCTCTTCTCCGATTCAATACTTACAACGCGCAGTTCCTTCATAGTAGGCTTTCTAGTTTTGGACATGTGCAACATGTTACAATAAAAATCCCATTATTCGGGAATTTTCGCAATATTCCCGAAATATGCATGTTACTCATATTAGGTCTGAACTGTAATAGTACATAACACAATCGGAATCGTTCCTGCGTGTTCGAAAGGGGACGCGCGTATCCTTATTCGCGTAAAGGTCATTTAGCGACAAATACAAAAAATGCGTAACCATAATTATTATTAGTGATGTAAAAAAACCTTGAGCTTAAAATTATTTTCCTTAACGTCTATGTATTATTGCACTCAAAACGCTTTATTATATTAATTTATAAGTCGCAAAATCTCTACATAATTATTTTTACATATCATATTTTATCATTAGTAATGCATATTTTGGAATTCTCTTTTTATTAATTCAAAATTGTTTATCATTGTATGTTTACGACTGTGAAAGAATTAAAAGCTTAAGATAAAGCAAAAAAAAAAAGTAAGTGATAGAATTATGAAGACTTGTGTCCAACTTTTTATTGGCACTTCAGTGAGGGAGGCGACTAGCAAAGCTTTGAATCTTTCACTAAAGCGCCAGTAATCTGCCGGCCACCGACGTCTCGGTTAGTCTCAAACCTTACTCGTAGATTGCTAGCAACAACACGGGCTGTGTAATACTTTATTTTTGTATCACTTAGGTGTCTCATGTAATTTAAGATTTATTATGTATATTGATTACTGATTATTTGCGTTTGAAAATCCTCTATTGATACATATTTTATGATGATTTTCGATAAAATACATATTTTACTCCTTTTTGTGATTTTAAAGTTGTAATGTCTTTTCTATTATTAGTATTTTATGGTGCAAGAAATTAATTTATGCGAAGACAAATTGAATATGAAGCTATGTAGTTCCTTACTTTACACAGAAAATGAGCTGTTTTATAAAATTATTAAGGAATTACATAGGTTCACTTTCTCCCCCCCTATGTAATAATATAAAAGGTGCATGTTTAAATTAATGTATGTAGTACCTTCTGTACCCGCAGGAATTTCACGCTAAGAGCTCAAATAAAATTATGCTATTTAAATACGCACCTCTCCCTTCGAAGAGATACTCTTGCGCGTACAGACTATGTATTTCACGTGATTATAATATCACAGTATTTATATCTCCATAAAATTTATTTCAAACCGTATCGCATCCGTACCAGCGAAGCTAACTTTGGGCCGTTTTCGCGTCTATCCATCCTTCTAAAGCTTCGGCCAAACCATATGTATGTGATGGCGATCACTGCGCGGGCATAGATGTGAACTCATCGCTACAAATTCATACACGACATCTGATCGCCATCGCGCTCGCTGGCTACACACTGGTTCGGTCGAATCTTCTCGCAGCGAGATGTGAACGCTGCGCTGGCGTGTGCGACAGTAAATAAATGGCAAAGAGGTAGCCGCAATGCTCCGAAAAAAAGTCCGCAACAATTCCCCCATCGGATATTGTAAATAGAAGCCATATTTTTTGTAATTAAAATTATTTTATTCCATTATCGTACGAATGAACAAAATAAATAAAATCGTTACACTGTAATGTGCGTTTCATTTCTTAGGCTGGTTTTAGTGTCACGCGGACTGTCAGTACGGATCGCTCCGCACGGCCATTCTGTATGAACTTCTAGGGAGCGTTTTAAAGTAATGCAGTCCGGAGGAACCGGTCCCTAGCACCGGGTCCGCACCGGACGGTCCGCGTGACACTAAAACCAGCCTTATGGCTCGTATTTTGATCAGGAACTCGTGGATCGCTTACGTACCTTTGGAGCAGTCTGAGAAAAAAATATCAGTTTAATTCAAAAGGCCGGCACGCTTCGGTCATAAATTGATTGATGGAGGAGCAGTCGACGAGCGGAGGTGGCCAGTTCAGTCAGGCGTCAGTCGCGGCCCATGGAGTGCGTGTCGGCGGGCGGGTCCACGCGCACGACGGCGCGCGCCAGCACGAAGTAGGCCTCGTAGTGCGCGGCGTCGGGCGTCACGTCGTAGTGGTAGTGGCCGCCGTCGCCGTGCTCGCTGAACCCGTGGAAGTGCTGCACGCGCAGGTCCAGGCCCTAGGGGTTCGAGCGTGGTGTAAATAGCTCCAGGCAGATAACTACTAAGTGTGGCCCGCGACGCTGGCCAACCGCGTGGGCGTAAGCGTGACTCCTATATAACCAGCCTAACTATGATCTAAAGGCTAACGCAAGTCAAGGCTATGCGCGCACGGGTGACTTATCACCGTGACATTATACAGGGTGTTTCTTGTAAGGTGTCAAGCCTAAGGCAGGTGATAGGTGAGGACTAGATCTATCGATTTCACCCCCATGTATGTTCTACGATTTTTCGTAGTTTAGAAGTTATCGTTAATTTTGTGATTTTTTTCAAATTTTATGACCTAGTGGCTTAGTTTTTTTTTATCTTTTTTTTGGGTTGACTTTTCTCAGATTTCTTTTTTTTTGACAGATTCCCTATTAGTTGCAGATATTTGAAAGAAATAATCACCTTCCTATCTTTGGTGCAAGATACAAAATTTTTGCTAGAAACATAAAAAATATGCTTTTAGCAGAACATTCTAAAATTTTCAACTGAAATGTATGAGAAAAAAAAAGAATTTCCATAGGTCCAAAATAAATTTAAAAACTGCGCAGTTTTCTAAACTTTCATAATAACACAAAAAAACATGTACTTAATAGGCCATTATTTTCTGTAATCGCTCCACTAAAGTGGTAAGTCGGAGATTCCGTTACATGTTTTTGACTTTCTTAGGACTAACCACTTGAGTGGAGCGATTACAGAAAATAATGGCCTATTAAGTACATGTTTTTTTGTGTTATTATGAAAGTTCAGAAAACTGCGCAGTTTTTAAAATTATTTTGGACCTATGGAAGTTCTTTTTTTTTTCAAACCTTTAAGTTGAAAATTTTAGAATGTTCCGCTAAAAGCATATTTTTTATGTTTCTAGGAAAAATTTTGTATCTTGCATCAAAGATAGGAAGTTGATTATTTTTTTCAAAAATCTGCAATTAATAGGGAATCTGTAAAAAAAAAGAAATCTGAGAAAAGGCGACCCAAAAAAAAGATAAAAAAATTTAAAGCCTACTGGGTCATACAATTTGAAAAAATCACAAAATTAACGATAACTTCTAAACTATGAAAAATCGTAGAACATACATGGGGGTGAAATCGATAGGTCTAGTCCTCACCTATCACCTGCCTTCGGCTTGACACCTTACAAGAAACACCCTGTATATTTCTCTTTTACACTCTTATAAAAAGAAAAAGAGAGCGTACTAGTACTGTCTTATCTATGGAAAAATATACTGTCACGGTGATAAAAGTCATCTATGCGCGCTTAGCCTTAGGCCCATAATACACGGTGAAACGCAATTGCAACAAAACTGCAACTTCTAGTTACTTTTGAGTTGCATCTAAGTTTCTGTCATAACGTCCGTTGAGAGACCACACATGACGCGACCAGTTTCAAACCGGTTTAAACTGGTCACACTGATTGCGTCATGTGTGGTCTCAACGGAATCTATGGCAGAAACTTAGATGCAACTCAAAAGTAACTAGAAGTTGCAGTTGCGTATCACCGTGTGTTCTGGGCCTTAGTGCTATCTTAACATTCCTAACTACAGCAATCGAAAGCTTAAGCCCTTCTCAGCATCCAAAAGAAGCTTGCGCATACGCACCAGGTCGCCGGTGACGAGCGTGCCGACATGTACAATCGGCGCGCGCATGTCGAAGTAGTGCAGCCAGGCGTCCACGTCGGCGTCGGAGCACAGCGCCGCGCGCGAGAAGTCCGGCATCACGTGGTGCTTCACCTTGCCCGCGCGCAGCACGAACGTACCTCCCAGCCCTGCAACGAGGATAAGGCTCGGTTGAAATAAAGGAATCACAGATACACTTTGTCATCATCTCAGCCATAGGACGTCCACTCCTGAACATAGGCCTCCCCTCAATGACTTACACATCGCCCGGTTGGTAGCGGTCTTAATCCAGCGCCTTCCTGCTACCTTTATAAGGTCGTCGGTCCACCTTGTTTACCGATAGAAGAAATCGCAGATACACTTTCAGATTAAGCATACCAGATTACCTAATTGCTACAAAAAGTAAACAGAAACTAGTATATTACAATCCAGATAGCATAGTAGATTACATTTGCTACTCAAGAGCCTAACAAACTACTTACATACATGCTAGCCTTTTAGTTTCATAAATAATTGTTGTGAAAAGCCTAAAAAAAGAAACAAATATGAAAAAACTTACCCACGACTTTATCACCATAGTGCTTCTTCAAAGTTTCTCTTATCGACGTGATGAAATTGGCTTCTCCAATTCGCTTTTTGGCGACAACCTTGATCACCTGTATAATGAAGACATTGTTATGTATTTTATTTTCAGACTTAGGATTAGAGTTTGACTGTACCTGAGACAAAATCTCGATATTCGATATCTTAACCTAAAAATGGGACCTTCAAACCCCCCTCTCCCCGCCGGCTTAAGAGCGGGGACTTTTGATATGTTCACCTCCTAACTAGTTCAAACAAAGGTACTAAGCCAAAAAGTTTGTTCCAAGCATTTCCCTCTACACCGTGATTAAAGCATTCATTGACTGGACTATTTGTTATAAAAAAACCCCTAGATCTAACCCAGTCTTTCCCAAAGTGGGCGATAACGCCTTGTGGGCGCTGCAGGCTTAAAAGGGGGCGGTAAGAGAACCAGAAAAAAAAATCGGGACGTTGTGTAGAGGCTTGGGAGGCGTCATCTACTAGGAGGACTCTTAGACATCGACTGAGCTCGACTCTTGACTACAAAAATGGGGGGCGCTAAAAAATAATTTATTCTCAAAGTGGGCAGTAGACTAAATAAGTTTGGGAACCTCTGATCTAACCTGTCCGGGGAGACCGTCGCTAAGAAGGTAGTTGCCGAGCAACGCAGTCCTGGTCTCACTGGCCGGCAGCCGGCGCTGCAGGTAGCCGCTCTGGCCCTTGGGCGCGCCCACCGGCTCCACCGACACGATTCGCGTGCCCTGTTCTACAGTACCGTTGCGCACGCTCAGGTTTATTATGCCCTGGAACCATCAAATCATACGTAAATGCAAGAGGTGGTAGTTATTTTTGGTTAAGCTTGCGAAATAATGTTTGGATAATTTTAATCAATACAAGTTACATACCTTACAAGATTAATGTAAATTAAAATATACCCAGTCACTAAGTACATATTATAAACAAAGTCGCTTTCCTGTCTGTCTGTCCCTATGTATGCTTAGATCTTTAAAACTACTAAAGAGTGATTCAAGAGGAAGGTTAAAAACCATACCTATGCGAAGCAGCGCAGGGGCGGGAATTAATTTAAAATGGAACAGGTAAATGCATACTTTATCTAACACAAACAATGTTACTTTCAATATTCTTTTGTTAGAAAATAAAGTAGGTATAGCGACGCAAACATGATCACATAAATACAATTTTAATGGGAACATCTTTATGTAATTTGTGTCACTGATAAAGCGATAACCTCTTTTGTTTAGTTAACAAACATTTAAGCATAATAAACACTATACAATGACATAACATCGTGTAAAGCAAGATGGAAATATTAATTAAGCAATGTGAATAAAAAGTCTGAACTGGCCCGGTTAGATATGCCACTTTCAATCTACATCCACGACACTCAAATGCTGCTGAGCCTGCTGGCAACATGCTACATGCTACAGAGTAGATAGATGGCTGTCGACTGAAATTCTCGGTGATAATAAACTAGCGGCCGCCCGCAATTTCGTACGCGTGGATCCCGTTTTACCCCCTTCATCTATCTTACGCAGTTTAAATTTTTTCATACAAATGTTTTTTCCCGCTAACTCCCGTTCCCATGGGAATTTTGCAATATCCTGTTGTAACTAAGCTTTCAAGTTTACTAAGGTACCTGCATGCCAAATTTCAAGCGTCTAACTTAAGCGGTTTAGATTTTTTATACAAAAGGATTTTCCCGCTAATTCCCGTTCCCGAGGGAATTTCGGGAATTCCTTTCTTAGTGCACTTCTACGGTACCCAAGCTACGTCCCTTCCAAATTTCAAGTGTCTAAGTTTAGCCGTTTAGGCTGTGCGTTGATATGTCAGTCAGTCAGTTTCTCATTTTATATTATACTAGCTTTCCGCCCGCGGCTTCGCCCGCGTGGAATTTTGTCTGTCACAGAAAAACAATATCGCGCGCGTATTTGCTCACCGTTTAGACCTACCCTGGACTACGACAAACATTTAAAAACCAAAATCAGCTCAATCGGCCCAGCCGTTCTCGAGTACCTACTAACGAACATCAATTCATTTTTATTTATATACAGGGTGTCCCAAAAACAATGGATAACCCTGTAACCATCGATAGGCCTCGCCATGGTCTCCCTAACGTCCAATTTTGACCCCCGTAAAAATATCACCGTTTTCAAGATTTTTAAGTTTTTGTGCATTTTTAGAAAATTGCCACCTGCGATTACTTTTTCTCATGCCATTTCTACAAATGAGGATACTTTTCAATCTAGTTTTTTTCCTTATCACAAGGGATAGTTGGGCTATCAAAAGAAAATATTAAAGTTAAACAAACTAGTTTAAAAGTATGAAAATTTTAAGAAATTGCAGAGAAGAAGGAAAAATTAATTCATTGTCTTGAACTTTTGATCAGCCATCGTGTAAAAAAAATGTATGAAGACCATCGTGCCCATTACCTTAAAAACTTCCTTGGTTAATTGAGATTTTAAAAAGGTATCACAAGCCTATGTATTCTGTATTATTTTTATCTTATGGCTACATGAATAGCAACTAGTATGAAAACTGCAAAAATGAGTTTTTCTCGTAATAGTTAAACTAGGACTGCATAGTGGCATTAAATACAAATGGATAATTTTTAGCGTAGGAATTTTAATAAAGCAACGTTTTATCATCATCATCATCATCATCATTTCAGCCATAGGACGTCCACTGCTGAACATAGGCCTGTACCCCAATGATTTTCATAATGACCGCTTGGTAGCGGCCTGCATCCAGCACCTTCCTGCTTACCTTTATGAGGTCGTCGGTCCACTTTGTAGGTGGACGTCCTACGATGCGCTTTCCGGTACGTAGCCTCCACTTTAACCCTGTTGCCCCATTGGCCGTCCGTTCTGCGTTTTTGTGATTACTTAATTTTTGTTTTAAACCTTATAAATGTGCCTATAGACAGATACCCGTGATAATACACGGCTCGGAAACGTGGATTTTTGGGCCAGCGTGCTATGGAAGGGGCTATGCTCGGGTTTCTTTACGAAATCGTATCAGAAATTAGGATATCCGTAAACGAACTAAAGTCGCTGACATAGCTCGACGGATCAGCAAGCTGAAGTGGCAATGGGCAGGACACAGTAGTTTGCAGAACTGAGGCAGCAGGGTTAAAGTGGAGGCTACTTACCGGAAAGCGCATCGTAGGACGTTCACCTACAAAGTGGACCGACGGCCTCATAAAGGTAAGCAGGAAGGTGCTGGATGCAGGCCGCTACCAAGCGGTCATTATGAAAATCATTGGGGTACAGGCCTATGTTCAGCAGTGGACGTCCTATGGCTGAAATGATGATGATGATGATGATAAAATGTTGCTTTATTAAAATTCCTACGCTAAAAATTATCCATTTGTATTTAATGCCACTATGCAGTCCTAGTTTAACTATTACGAGAAAAACTCATTTTTGCAGTTTTCATACTAGTTGCTATTCAAGTAGCCATAAGATAAAAATAATACAGAATACATAGGCTTGTGATACCTTTTTAGAATCTCAATTAACCAAGGAAGTTTTTAAGGTAATGGGCACGATGGTCTTCCTACATTTTTTTTACACGATGGCTGATCAAAAGTGCAAGACAATGAATTAATTTTTCCTTCTTCTCTGCAATTTCTTAAAATTTTCATACTTTTAAACTAGTTTGTTGAACTTTAATCTTTTCTTTTGATAGCCCAACTATCCCTTGTGATAAGGAAAAAAACTAGATTGAAAAGTATCCTCATTTGTAGAAATGGCATGAGAAAAAGTAATCGCAGGTGGCAATTTTCTAAAAATGCACAAAAACTTAAAAATCTTGAAAACGGTGATATTTTTACTGGGGTCAAAATTGGACGTTAGGGAGACCATGGCGAGGCCTATCGATGGTTACAGGGTTATCCATTGTTTTTGGGACACCCTGTATGTTACAGGAAATGTATGAAATCCGTCATTGTATACAATTCCTAGGAATTGTGTACAAGTCCTAAAATCACCCGGAAATGTGTGATGTAAATTATATTAGACACATTTCCTAGGAAATTTACACATTTCCTAAACAGCAATCGGAAATGTAGGTAATTAAGATTTCTTTTTTTTCTCCGAAACATAAATGGCGCTACCACGCCGCGGCAGCTGTGTATGTGTAAGGTCGCAAGTCTAACCTAACCTAACTGAGACTTAGTTATCCACCTTCCAGGAGTACTAAAACCTTCATGCCAATAATAGTTTAATAAAAGAGATGTTAAAATTAGGGTTTTCCAATACTTCAGCGTAATATGCGTGATGCCGAAATAAAGGTATGCCAATAGGCAAGTATTTTTTTCGGCCAAAGTATAATAGTGCGAAAACAACTGTCAGGCTAAAAAATAATAGTTGTGAGTTAAAAGTACCTATCGGCCAATGTGGTTTGGCTAAATGAAATTTTAGGCGTACTGAGGGGCACCCGATCACACGACCGCGCTTGTGCCGCTTAGTTTTATACATTTCCTAATACAATATTGGAATTCTATAAAATTCCTAGGAAAAGTATACATGTCCTAGGATATGTGCGTATTAAAAAATCTCTGAAGCAATATTTTATACATTTCCTAAATAGCTTCGGAATTGTATACATTTCCTAGGAATAGTATACAATTCCTAGAATTCATACATTTCCTGTAACATATAGATAGATAGATTTAGATGAGCAATGAAAACAGGCGGAGCCATCTTGTAGGTGCTTACCTCGCAGTTGACGTCGATGTGCGGCCAGGGCCCGGCGCCGGCGCCGGCCAGCAGCGCGGGGTCCCGCCGCAGGTGCCGCAGCAGCGCCGCCAGGTCGTACAGCTTGTCGCGCTGCACGCGCGGCACCAGGTACGGCGGTCCGCCGATCTCCACCAGCTTCTCGTTGCCAGTCAAACCTTTTCACAGTAATTTAATGCAAATACTTTCAAGGAATTTTATAAATGTAAACAGCCCCACCGCATCGATAAACCGCTAAATAGTTAAAAAAAACAATAAAAATCGTTAATGCCTACGTGGCTTTAACCACAGAATAAGTAATAGTACAGGTACAGAAGGATTACTCCGCACGACGATTTAAATAAATGCGAGTCTTGCTGCGACGCGATACAGTGGAATTCAGCTCGCACAGCACTACGTACCTACAATTTTATTCACCTACAAGTTTTATCTCTTTCTATCGCGTGCCTCTGAACTCTTCTTACGCTGTTAGGGTTGCTGTCTAGTGAAAAAATAATTAATCTACTTATTTGTAATGAGGTACGTATGTAGGTACGTAAAAATAACATTTCAAATATACCTAATTAGGATTAAAAAAACTTGTTCTATTACAATGTCTTCATTCATACCTACCTATTTTAACATAAGACAGATAAATTAAACATACTATTACAGAAAAAAAAGAATCCTATACTATCCTAAGAATTTTATTATTGATTACCTACATGGCCAACATACCTTTCAGCATCTTTGGGAAGCGAAAAAAAAAAGATAAATCCGGTAATTTCTTTTCGAATTTAAACACCCGAACGCCGCACAATATTTCTTTCTCTTTATGTCCATTTTTAAATAATACTTCGATCATAGAATTATAATCATACTAAAACGCAAGCCAGCGTCCTGTCGGGCGAGCGCGTGACACTCGACTGATATAATACCCGCCGGCGGGGCGCTTCGCTGTAGGTAATTATCGGATGTACCACGCGGAGTGAGCCAGGCCTGCTTTAACTCTCAATGCAAAAACAATAACATCAAGTCACTGGACTGGACAGTTGCTTTGACAATGCAAGTGACTGTATGTATGGTTTTAATGAGAAAAAGAAATATTCTAAAATGAATCTAGTAATCTGAATAAATAAAATTATTATTATTAAAATATTCTTGACATTCTACAAAGTTTAAGTAGGTATACATTGCTTTCTTTGTTTACATTTATATAACTCCATATTCCATTATCTAATCACAGCAAAGTATTCTGCAAACACATATAAACGCGCTCCAATAGAAACGTTAGTGAGAAGTTAAAATTATTTAAGCAGTAAAGAAAAATGTTGCAAAAACGGGAAATATTATTCAAACTACCTATTTTCACACGTACGAAGTCGCGGGCAGAGCTACTCAATATTAATGTAAATTAAATAAAATGATAACAATACCTGGGCGGCCATTATGGAACTCCCTGATTCACTCTATCAAGACCACTTAAACTTCACTGTCTTCACTTGAACTAACACAAGAGTGCAATAATATCTAAGTTAAGTGCAATAAGCAATTTTATACACCACTTTATACTACACTCATGCAACGCCCCAAAGGTTTAATAATGAAAGACACAAAAATGTACGTAAAAATAAATAAATCTACCTGCAACCTGCAATGGCGGCAAAATAATGTTTTTTTTTTTGTTTAAGGCTTCGTGCGTGCGGTTTGCACTTTTTTTTTTGCTCACGCGGCTTGCGCATTTGCCAATATCAAGTTTTTGTATTTATTTTTAAAAAGGGTAAAAGTATTTATATTTATTTATACTTAGTATTATATCATATGACTACCTAGTTAAATATTGTTATTGAGTTCGAATAATCCGACTTCTTGACGGGAAAATTAAGCGTAATTTTTAATAAAAAATACTTCCAACTCTCGAGTTCTCAGTAAAATCTTTCTCTACTGAATTCTAGGGAAAAGCTGGGATGTCATCTATCATTCATATTATCATTATTTGTACCTTATTTATGTTACTTTATCATTATTTGCTTGACACTGGCTCTATGTGATAACCGCACAAAGCCATCCATGATTGGAAGAAAAAAATAAACAAAACTTCTTGGCGGGAATGTGAAACGTCATGTTTTGAATTTTTGTTTAGTGTGAAACAACAAAAAACTTTTTTAAGTAAGTATAGACGTGGTATAGATTAACTTTAAATTGTTATGCAAAATGCACGATTATAAAAATGTAATGTGTCTTGCTTGTGACGTGCATGCAACTTACCAGGCGAGGTGAGGAAGAAAGGCGGCTGCGTGAGGTCGGGGCACGGCGCCGCCGACACCTCCACCGTCGCGAAATTGGATTTCAGCCCGCGGGAGAGGACTGCAAACATTCAGCTTTCTCAGTTTTCGGCTTTAACGAAATAAACTATGCCATTCAAAAATACAGTTACCTCCATAAAATAGGAATAAAAATAGCAATAGATTAACAGGTAATACAAGTTTTACTATCTACTGCAGGTAGCTTACCATTGCATCCGAACAAGGTAAATCATGTAATTTATTAATGTTACGGTAAAATACCTACTGTCTCACTTATTTTAACTCCGCAATAAAATATTAACAAAGTGTGATTTGATTTAAAAAAAGTCCATCTATAATAGTAATTTGGTTGACTCGAGTTTTCCACTTCTTGTATGCTAGTGCAATACAGTGAAACAATATTTTGGTGATAAGTGTCCACTAATTATTTTATTTAAAGACTTATTGTCAATCAAATTGATTAATCGTGTTTTGTTTTGTTATTGTAACTCACCATCTACGACTTCCTCAACAGGCGGAGTGAAGAGAGGCTTTTCCGTGATCGGAAGCTGCGAGTAGTCCAGCGACGCCATACTAAAACACAAGATGCAATATTACAAACATAAGAAGGTAGTCCAACAACGTACAAACAATATTACAAGTTAATGAAGGTAGGTGAGAATTCTGCACTTTTAACAACTTTTCAATGCAAAATTTACGTAGGATTTATGTCAGTTTCAGTATTTGGTTTATAGTTACCTTTTCTGCAGTTAAATATTTACATTGATTAAATTGTCATGCCCATAAAAATAATGTTCATTAAATAATATTATAACTGAAGGTACTTTAAATCTACAAACATTTTTAGCATGCGAATAAACTGCTTTAAAAATAACACCCCAGGCGGTCGCACTTTCACTCACCTCGTGGTGTCGGCCGGCAAGGCCGCCGCATTCACGGCCACTACAATGTAGCTCGCGATGGCGCTCAATGACAATATGGGACGGTGACGCATTTTCTACTCTAATGACTTTGAGCTAGTCAACAATAAGACATAACCTGTAACGGTTAACAAGCCCTAATTGGTGATACGTACGTTATGTTGTGTGATATGCGATGCGAATGGCCGAAATCAGCTGACGGGTTCGGCAAACGAGTTGTCCGGGCCTTGTCCGCGGTCACGACTGTGACCTGCGCGCGCGCTGTTGTGATCGCAGCACTCTCGGCGGTTATCGCGCGCAGTGGTTGCGCGGTTATCTTCAAGTGTTCTATCACTCGATTCGAAGCCACTTAATTACACTAGGAGCAAGGTTACCGCTATAAAATGTATAATAGAAATATATCCGGTAGGCCAAGTTAGTGTAAAAAAATAGTTTATTCAAACTAATTTTCATAAAGTATCTACATTGTTCCGCATTTAATCCTTTACAAACTCAGTTACCTACTAGGATATTACTGACCTCATTGAGTTCTGGTGATAAATAGGCCGGTGCCTTCTTAGAGCTACGAATAGGTATAAATACGACAAACACTACTCAAGTGTGACCACCATTTTCTTGAAACTGTTAAGCTACGAGTATCATGATCACAAAATAGGTACGAATATAAGTAGGTAAATGTTAATAACAATATTATTATGAAGATTACCTCTTTGCAGAGGGGATTCCGATAAATCAGCTCCGCTGCACGCACAATCACGAATGATGAAATGAACTGAAGTAAATTTAATGCGGGTGGGTGTTTATTGGCAGGTATTTCGATCTACCCTCTTTCCGAATATTTTTACGGTCTACGTCTCGGCGGTACCACAGTGCACAAACTCATTATTAACTCGCTTTTATTATTGACTAGCTTTCCGCCCGCGGCATTGCGCGCGGGGACCCCTGGACCCTATTTTTTCCAAAAATAAAATTTAGCCTATGTTACTCCTGGATATTGTAGCTTTCGAATGTTGAAAGAATTTTTAAAAACGGTCCAGTAGTTTTTGAGCCTATTCATTACAACCAAACAAACAAAGCTTTCCTCTTTATAATATTAGTGTAGACATGCGCAACAATGTTTGTATCCGAACGCGTATTGCTTGTGTATTCCACACTGTAAATTTTTTTTACCAAATTGAAGAGTAAAAATAAATATGTTTGGTATTCTTCTTTTTTATAAGCTACTTTATGTAATTGACCGGTTAGACACATTACAGATTTATACTCGGCACTATTGAGAACTTTGTTCTGATAAATTACGTATAAAAATTTCCGTCACATCAAGATACTTTTCTTATCCGTGCCTACTGCACGACTCATTTAATAATGGAAATAAAATAAACAACCTCGAAGGTACACGTTTATTGCTATTCGTTCGAATCTGTTCATTACAGCATTTAACATTAGCAACGAAATTAGCTAGCATAAATAAATAAATATTTACTAAAGAAAATGAAAAACAACAACTTCAGCTTAGCTCTAAACAGACTTTGGAGTTGACTAAGAAGAAAACAAAATTAACCTATTGTGTTAAGTGTAAATAAAAAATCTATTGTACACACGTCCACCACCTTACCACACCAGTCAAAACCATCTAGCTAGAGCACCACATGCAACAACAGTATAGTTACATTTTAATGATAGAACTGCTTCATTTGTTCTCATTTTAAAACTCAACACTTGCGTAAACTTGGAACAGAATCACATCAGCTGAGCTCTGAAGTTGAACTTAACGACATAATTAGAAGTAATGCACAGCACAATTAACAGTTGATACTTTATTTGGCTTTCATATTACGTAAGGCCTATGTAACCAGCTGCCGCAAATCGTTATCAAAGATTGTCACACTTAACGAGAGATAGGAAAAGTTGGTAGCGATCAGTTTACGTGTGATGATGACCTTTGTTCTAAGATTACTTAGAAATTCGATGACTACGAGAGGATCGCTCTAACAGAAATGATTAACAGCACATAATAAAGAAACGTAACAGCCTTTATCATCGCAGTGTACAAGATGCCACAGCCAGCTTACACCCGCGTACACGCTGTCAATAGAACTATATCATAGGGTCATATCTACTTTGTTCCCAGAACACACTTAGCATTAAGGTGAACCCTCAACATCATTCGCAAATACTCTTCTTGAGGATATATCATCATAACATATCGTTCATACACAAAATATAATATTTCAGACACAATTTAACAACTAAGGTATATTCACATTATGGACGTGGGCGGTACGCCCCATAGATGTGTTGCATTTTGTCCCTCATAAGTTCTCAACCCCAGCGCCCGCGCTGGCCCGTAGTAATGTGAATATACCTTTACACGTCTATGACGTCTTCACTTTGACACTCTAGCTACGCAAACGCACATAACATAGCTCTATGCGCATACACGACTTACGGCTTTGCATTGAAATTTATAACGAACAAAAGTATTGTACATAAATATACACATGCTTTATACATACAACATTTACGTGAAAAAAAAAATGTACGTTGCAAAAGGTTGATAATTTCATTTAAGTCAACACATCACTCCCTACAAACAGGTACATATTATAACGATTGGTATTATTAGTAGTAAATCATTACTTGATTATATGGCTCATTCATAGATACAATTACAATATTATTTGTTCCGTGCCAATATCCGGAATCCATCTTGTTGAGTAAAGCCCCTGTCTTTTTCATGGTTTTTTCGTCTTAGCAACTTCCTCCCTTCGACTTCCGGCGCCACCATCGCTCGTTTTGGTGGGGGTAATGGCGGCGACCGGAATGTGGCGTGGCTTTTTGATCATTATAGCGTCGTCTTTCGTAGTGGTAACACGTCTTAGCAATAATTATTGTTTTTTCTTATAAAAATCTACCCAAGTATATTTTAATAATAAAAGTGAATCCTCCCTTCATTATGGAGAACGAAAATAGTGAAAATGTGCAACGAAGTGATAATTTTGGTGAAAGTTCATCGCGAAGAAGAAGTCGTTCTCCAAGTACGAGCAGTGCGTCGTCGTCGGAGGATTCGAGTCCGGAAAGGAGACCGAAACGATCGAGAAAGGAAAGCGTGAGTGACATGAGATTTGAATTTCTGTCGCAACAGGTAGCTTTTTTGACTAATTTAATTACTCAAAAGCAATTAGAGCCACAAGCATGCGTGGCGCCGGCGATCCAAGAGGTCAGTGAACCCGTCCGTTGTCCGGTTGGCGAGCTGGGCCTCCGCCCACCGCCTGACACGGTTGCAACCGATAGTCAGCAATTAAAATTATCGGATTTGTCGACTTCACTGAAGGATCCGCCATTTCCTAAAGCTAACGAGACTCATTTAGCTAAATTATCTCAGTTACAAAGATTTAAATGCAACGATTGGTATGCAATTCGTTTTTCTGAAACACAGAAAAAATACCTAGCTACCCCGGGTTTTATAGAACTCAATATCAACGATGAATTGAGACGTTTCAAAGAGTCTAGTGCCAATGAAGATCGTTTGTATCTTTTAGAGAGGACCTACGCTGCATTATCGAGCGCTATTCTGACTCAGAAAGACGAATTGCTTATGACTTTACAAAACTTAGTAGATTGGTCGAATGATAAAAATACAACGCTCACGCCCAAATCTTTATTTGATAAAATTGAGCAATCATTTGGTAAAGAGAGTAATTATACAAAAGTAACTGATGACATTTTACAAATATGTTGCGGCAGGAGGGCTGACTGTATTCACATGCGCAGGGAGTGTATTTTAAAGCAAATTTCAGAGGAATATCATTGCGGAGCCTTGCAAAAAATTCCTCCAAGTGCAGAGAATTTGTTTGATGGCGACTTATTGGCAACATACCTTCAAAAAATTGGGGGGGCCGAAAAACTAACACCTTCATTACAGACTACGCACCATGTGGGACCGAATCGAAATCGTTCCAGCGATAATACGCCGAAGCCGTCGACGAGCAAACAATCTGGCGGCAACAATTTTCGAGGTAACTCTTCAGGCTCGAAGGACAAAAATAAAGGTCATGGCAAGTCTTTTGACAACAGGACATCTACCAACAAGAACAAGCGAGTCTATAAGGGTAAGAAACCAAGGTCACACTCCCCTGCCAAAAATAATCGTGCATGACTACAAAAGCTTTCGGGGTGGTTGTCTGCGGCAATATTTGCATGTTTGGGAAAACCTGGGAGCTCCCGATCACATATGCAAACTGCTGAAAGGAGTACGTATCCCGTTTATAATGAAGCCACCCCTAATATCACCCAATCAATCGATTATCAAAAATTTCGAAACAAAAAGAAGTCGTCACATGTCTCAACAAATAAAGCAAATGTTAGACACACATGTACTAGAGAGGGCACAGATAAATCCCAGTTACCTATCGAAGTTTTTTCTAGTGCCAAAAGCCGACGGTTCATTCCGTCCCATTTTCAATTTGAAACAGTTAAACAAATTTGTCAAATTGAAAAAGTTTCATCTGTTCAGTCATTTTCGCGTGCCAAGTTTCTTACAGAGCGAAGACTGGATGGTGAAGGTAGATCTCAGCCAAGCGTACTTTCATCTACCTATAGCCGAGCAGCATCGAAGGTTCCTGAGACTGATCTACAACGGCGAGCTGCTCCAGATGACCTGCCTTCCGTTTGGCCTGTCATCGGCACCGAGAACGTTCACTTCCCTGACGAACTGGATCGCAGAATACCTGAGGAGTCACAATATCAGGTGTGTGGTTTATTTGGACGATTTCTTGCTGGTCAATCAGTCTCGCCATATTTTACACGACCACGTCGTTTTTATGGTGAGCCTGATGCGACGACTCGGATGGACGATCAACGTGGACAAATCTGTACTGGTTCCGACTCAACGCCTGGAGTTTCTGGGAGTTACATGGGACACCAAACTCAACACGAAGTCCCTGTCGGAACCGAAGCGCCTAACGCTACGCATGGCCCTTCAAAGTCAGATGTCCAGGGGCAGCTGGTCTCTCCGACAAGCCCAGTCACTTCTGGGGAGACTCAACTTTGCCTCATTCGTCGTACGCAGAGGGCGACTACACTGTCGGACTATGCAGTACTACAGCCGACAGCTTCCCAAAGCGCACCCCTACAAGCGAGTAAGTATACCAGAACCTGTTCTTACCGAGATGAGTTGGTGGATGGAAGCCGTACGGGACTCGTCAGCGATACATACAGCCCCGATATCACACCTGCTGACCACGGACGCGTCCGACTACGGCTGGGCAGCTCAACTGGGAGATGTGAACATGTCAGGTCAGTGGACAAAACGACAACTCACATGGCATGCCAACCTCAAAGAGCTCTATGCGGTTTTCGCGGCGATACAACAGAGCGAGTCGCTACAGAATGCTCACATATTGTTACAAACGGACAACCGTACGGTAGTGGCGTACGTCAACAAGGAAGGCGGAACCAGATCGAAGAAACTGTTAGACCTCACTCGGCGACTGTTGACAGTAATGGACCAGCTCAATATTCATCTGACGGCACAGTACTTCCCGGGCAGATTCAACTGCGAAGTGGACGCATTATCCCGGGGCCAGGCCTGCCCGGAGTGGAATTTGACCGAGGAAGCCACGAATGTAATATTCCAGATGTGGGGAACGCCGGAAGTGGACTTGTTCGCATCGAAGACGGCTCACGTGGTTCGGAGGTACGTAACAATAGACACGCAGGACGACGAAGCAATTTTCCACAACGCCTTCCTGCAGCAGTGGGATTACGACCTGGCGTGGCTGTTCC